TATTCAAATGGACCTCTTTTTAAAATGTCACAAATGCATATCTTCTTTCCTTCTATAATTATTTTTTAAATCAGTATCTATGTACCACTGAAGTTGATGGGACTTAACACTGGAAGCCCCCAAAATGCTAATATTTTTTCAAGTCTTCCATGGGTAATTCATCAAAGAAAGGTAATATGGAACTTCATACCAAAGAAATAACAATTTATCCCTTTAATTTTTAAATACTTAACACTGGAAGCCCCCAAAATGCTAATATTTTTTCAAGTCTTCCATGGGTAATTCATCAAAGAAAGGTAATATGGAACTTCATACCAAAGAAATAACAATTTATCCCTTTAATTTTTAAATAACATTAATGTGTAACACAACATATTGTCCATTTTTGTGTGCTTTACTCTTAAACAGAAGTATTTTGGCATGCCTCTTAAAAACGTAAAAATTACATGTCAGACAGCAAAGAATATTAGAAGTCTAGAATCTATTAAGAAGTATTTTCCCTGGTAACCAAATTCTAAACATGGATTTGTTTGAGAATGCCATCACCTTACAGAGTTACAGTATATCCTCCTTTCAAAGCATAAATTATAATCTAAATTTTGTTAATATTTTAAAAATAAATTTGTTAAAGTTAGCAGCAGCCACCATATCACATCTAATTTTTTTTTTAACAAATTACATTTCTTCGTGTTTTTTTAGCCTGTTTGTATTAACTGTGCTCCTTGAAAGAACACAAATACAGTGATACCTCGGGATACGAACGCCTCTGCTTGCGAATTTTTCGGGTTACGACCAACTCGGGATACGCCCAGAGTCACGGAACGGATTAAGTTCGTATCCCGAGGTACCACTGTAGCTTTAGATAAGGCATGAACTGACTTGAAGTAATCCTTGCTAGTAGCAATGTCTACCTGCCCCCCAAAAGCACAGGATTTTTTTTCTTTTCTTTTCTGTTATTCTTTTCTCAGTTCCTTCCAGTTACTATGCAGTAGATACACAGAACTGGAGTAAGGGAATTTATAACCTGGAATTCAAAAGCAACATTCTAAGAAAGGGCTCAACAGGCTGTAAGATAGGAGGTTAACAGAGCGTTTGGTAGA